TTAATATAAATTCTGAAAAAAAAAAAAAAAGCTGAAATCTATAGATCTAAAGACCAAAAAATGGGAGACATGGCTTAGCAATTGCATGCATATTGAAAAAAGAAAAAAATGCTACTTAGGAGTTTCGGTTGATGATAAACTCAACAGAAGACAAAGACATAATAATAGATGCCAAATGAATACAATTCTAGGTTGCATTAGGACAAGAGAGGATCACAGGTGGATGACAGCGCTGCTCAGCTTGGCCATGCCTGTATCTGGTCCAGGCAGCATACTACCAAGGGAATAACTACAAACGGTGGTATATCCAGGGGCCAGACTAGGATCAAGGCAGGCATGGAAACCAACTCAGTGAGGAACGGTTGGAAGCACAGAGAAGGTTCAACCTGGCAACTTGAGAGGTACAAAAACTGTCTTTAAAAGCTGTCATATGGCTCTGACTTGTTCTTTGAGCCTCAAAGATCAGGCCAAGCTGGGCTCAATAGGTGGAAAGCAAAGGAAGGCAGATCTTTAGCTACATATGAGGAAGAACTTTCTATCAAGGACAGTTATCCAAATGGAACAGATCGCTCTGGAAGAAAGCGTGTTCCCCATGCCTGGAAAAGTCCAAGCAGAGGCCCTTTCTTCGAGCCATTGCGTAAGGATTCAAGCATCAGAGAGGAGGGGTGCAGTCAATCCCCGGAGTTCCTTCTACTGCTATTTCTGGCAACCAAGGCCTCCTCCTCTTATTCTCCCCTGTCCCACTGAGCCTGCACGGCCGCCCCACCCAGAGGCTCCCTTTGACAAAACCTGATATCCAAGTCCACTGCTGCAATTGCCAGTTCCTGCCCTGTGGGAGATTTTAATAGCACTTGTTAACTGCAAATTGAGGCTTGTAACGTGTGAAAGTTAAAGGTAAGCTTGTCCTTCAGGTCCTTAAGGACAACGTACAGAGATCTTTGTGTTGTGGTCCATCAAAACCAAGTTAAAATCTCCATAAGATATTGAGACCCAGGCCAGGCGAGGTGGTTCATGCCTGTAATCATAGCACTCCAGGAGGCTGAGGCAGGAGGATCGCTTCAGGTCAGGAGGTTCAAGACCAGCCTGAGCAATAGTGAGACCCCGTCTTTACTAAAAATAGAAGAAATTAGCCAGCAACTAAA